GTGACTCTTACACATTACCAAGTCTGGCTGCCAACACAAGTGGTACAACCTTGGGCACCACTGGAGCACAGCCTCCTCGGGAAACACTTTCCAGAAGATTTCACCTTAGTGATGCTGGTCTCTTTTTAATTACCACTAATTTCTTAGCTCCAGCCAACCAGCATCAAGTATCCCAGCAAAGGAAAATTTTGCTTTAGTAGTTCTGGTTATCTTGCGAATCACAGCTGATTCTTCCTTCTGCCCCAGCTAACCAGAATTCAAAATAACTAATGGCCATGACGGAGTCTTTAAACTTCACTCTGAAACTTTGCAAGCCAAGCCTCCCTCTTCTGCACTGTTCTTAACATTCTTATCTTCCAAACTCTCAAAGAAAATCCCACTGAGCTATGAACACTCAATGGCTCTTCTAGGCTAAAGTTCCAGTGTTGTTCTACAGTCCTTCCCAAAACATGATAAAGTCTGTCACAGCAATACCCCACTAGGTTGGTACCAATTTGCGTTAGCGTTTCTATTGCTGTGATGAAGCACCATGACCAAAAAGCAAGTTGGGGAGGGGAGGGTTTATCTGGCTTGTACTTCAGCAGTGTTGTCCCTCACTGGAGGAAATCAGGACAGGAACTCAAACTCAGCAGGATCTTGGAGGCAAGTTGACATACAAAACTACCCCAGTGCTTTGGAGATACCAGTATTGTGGGAAGACTACCAAGAATAGCAGCATCAGTGGTGTATAGCCAGCCGCAGCCTGGAAGACGAGTTTTGTGTGTTGCAGTGGGCAGTGCTGGAAAAGTGACCCAAGCTCTTTGCAGGATCCCAGATACTGGACATAGTTATTTATACTGCTGGATTTTGGTTTTGCTTGGTTCAGATTGTGATGGTGCTCTGGTTCTTCTCTCTTGAATAAGGTATTAAATTTTGATTTTTAAAGGAGCACACAAATGAAAGACTTGAACCTGAAAGAGACTAGGTATTTTAAAGAGGCTGAAATTTGTAAAGACTGAATTTGTAAAGACTGTGGGACTTTTTAACATTATTCATGATTTTCATGTGAGATCTTGGGGATGAATAAGAAAGGAAGGGTTGTGGCTTAATAGTGATGTATTTGTGTGACAATTTGACAAGGGGTCAGTTGTGCTGCCTGGTTTTGTGTGTCAACTTGACACAAGCTAGAGTTATCAGAGAGGAAGGAACTTCAGCTGAGGAAATGCCTCCTTGAGATCCAGCCATAAGGCATTTTCTCATTTAGTGATCAATGTGGGGTGGTCCAGCCCATGGTGGGTTGCTTCATCTTTGGGGTGCTGGTCCCTGGTAATGTTAAGTTCTAGTAGGTCATAATATTAAAAGCCAGGACGCAGATATAGGGGTAAATGCTGAAAAGAATGAAGAGACAAAGGAACAAACCATAACCACACCTTATGTTCTCAACTTCTCAGCTGAAAAGTGCCTGAGCTGTCTCTTCCCATCTTATATTCATCTTTCTGCTCAGCCATATCACTTCCTGTCTGTATAGACCTCCGGATCTCTATGGTTAGCTAGTGGCTAGCTCTGCCCTCTGATCTTCTGGCAAGCTTTGATAGAACATAAACAAAATATCACCACAGAGTTCTTTGGGCAGGGGGGAGTTTAATTACTTTCAATTTTTTATGGGGAAATTTGAAAAAAAAGTGCTTTTCCAGATAGTACGCTTCTGCAGAGGCAGTGCCTAGAGCATGGATGGGGTCCCTGGAATGTGTGGTGCCTGTATCCTGTACTGATAGGGGCTGCCTCAGACACAGGTTCTTTGGACACTTGAGTCTGCTTGTTATAGTACATCCATTTGTCTGTGGAAGGTTGGCTGTGTACTTTGGGGTTGACTTGGTGAACACAGCTAGGGTTTCCTTGCACTATCTCTGATTCTGCAGCAGGAATCCTGTGGTGGCAGACATGCCTACTCACTGGAGCTTGGGGTGGTTCTTGATGCAAATTTTTCTTTGAGGGAGCTCACCTATGGTGAACCCCAAATTTCTCCTCTAGAATCCATCCAACAGAGGCCATGAGGTCCTGTGCTCCAGTGACCTGTCGAGGCATGAATACTCTGCTTTGGGTCATGGATGATAAGACGTGCACTTTGCCTTTAGGGGCCAAAATCGAAATCATAAAGCTTTTATCCTGTCCCCAACTTCTTCCCTGTAACTGGGAAAGAATTATGTCTGTTAGTATTTGACCTGTACGCATGGACAGACCTCGTCCCTGAAAGCTGTGTGTCCTGCCTGGGACTTCTGTAGTCCTCTTTTTTTGTCAGCTGGACCAAAGATATGTCTAATCCATGGTTCTTAGGGTTTGGAAATCTTGTGGGACATTCCCTTCTCTTGTCAAGAAAAGGTACCTGTCCTGGGAGGTTGACTTCCTTGTAGTAGACACAGTCTTGAAGCTGGACTGGGAGTCCCTGCAAATCAGGATATGTGCAGCAAGCAGATCCTTGGGCACAATCCTGAAAGAATATTCCAATGGTGTAGTTCCACAGGACAATACCAGGGGTCAATCAGAGTCTTCTGGATCCTTGGAAATAGTTCTAGAAGGGGGATAGACTTTCACTGGTCTCCAGGGATTCTGAATCCCTTAGATGTTCATTGTTGGTTTGGGAGTTTGGCAGCTCCTCAGCTTCTATGATGAGTGCCCAGTCACAGGATTCTTCTTCATCTGTCTCCTCTATCTCCCTTGTATCCCTTCTTCTTGGTGGCTGGGATGCCACACTGATCTCTCAAACTGATATCCCTTGGTAGATATCTCACAGCCACACCCTTACCCTCCTGTGACTCATACACACCCTTGACTAGGCCTGGATTTGGTTCTGGGATGCCTGTCCAAGATTCAAGAACCATATCACTGTGCCAGGCTCTGCCTATGAGACAACGTGGGGTGGACATAGAGGTCATATTGTACTCCTTGACAATTGTGGGCTCACAATTGTCACTAGGTGGCATCTCTCTCAGGAATTGGAGCTGGAGGGCAGAAGAAGGGTTCTGTGTGGAAAGAGATTCCACAGTGGAAGTTATTTTCACCTCTTTCTCTTCTATGGCTTTCTGAAAAGGTTCTACAGGACACTGGTCATTTTGACAATACAGTCATCTCTAGAGTCCCCAAAGGAGGAAGAGGCATTGGAGGGCTGTGGAAAGGGCAAAGCTGTAGTCTTACTCATGTTGAAAACATGTATGGTCTTAGACCTCTGAGGGACAGGCTCCATCTGTGCCTCACCGGGCATCTTATAAGATGTGTCTATGGCACCTTCTGAGTGCTGGAATCTAGGAAGGAAGGCCCATTAGAAGTTTTCTTGCAGGTGGTTTAATGATTCAAGGTTTTCCCCCCAAGTTTCCATATTTGTCTTTAAGTTTTCCTGAGGGACCAACTCATGGTCCATATGTATTCGATGACAAATGCGCACAGGCACCTTACTGTCATTGGTATGCCCCCACTTGCTGCTTAAGTAGTTTTTCAGGTTGCCTGCAAGCTGCTTCTTTCCTGGTCCCACCAGAGTAACAATTCATAGGTCACGTCTTGGTTGTCTCATGTGGCTAGTGTCTACTTGTCTCAGAGATAGCCTTGAGAGATAGCCTAGGGAATCTTCTGGTCTCCTGTACAGATCTTTCAGAGCTCTTCCCAGACAAGTTTTTCAGATCCTTGCATGGGTCCCTCCATAGTTGGAATATCTCAGGACTGTTTGATGAGACACTCTGTGGGTGCTGGCTGCTTTCATCTGCCAGTGCTGAGGAACATGAAGCCCTGTCATTAATTTCTGCCTGACCCATCCCTGGGAGTTCTTCCTGAGTCTTTATCAGGTCCAGTGATAGCTGGACCTTGTGTCGCCATTGGCCCCAGTGTTGTGTGAACCTCTTTTTAAAGTGTTGTTACAGCTGCTTCTGGAGCTTGGGGATAATGGAATCCCTCAGGAGTTGGACTACAGATCCCTGGCCCTGGGAGACCCAACTGTTAGAAGTGAGTTGATTAAAGGCTTCCTGTGACTTTTTAACCATGGATGGTAAATTACTCCTGCTTTCTGCATGCTTCTTCAAAAGGTGGCATTCTATGTGTGGAACAGCAGGTGTGATAGTAAATTGGGATCTTGAAGCTGTAGGGCAAGAAGTTCCATAATCCCTACTTGGAGGTGAATGACCTGGTAGTTTCAGGAGAGACGATAGGTCACTGGCCTGGGTTTGGATCCCAGCCACTGGTGGAAATTGGGACCAGGAAAACTATGGAGTCAATGGTTGAGATTTGACCAAGTGATGAAGCAAGGGCTTTGGAGAAAAGAGCTGTGGAGGTATATTAGTCCGAACTTGTATTGGGATATAAGTAGAGAGTCCAGTGAGTAAGTGGAGATCCTGCCATATTGACAGTAAACACTAGGGATTCACTGTGGAGAAAGGGGATGTCCCAGAAAAGCTGACTACATTTCTACTGTACATACTTCCTAAGACCTTGTGGCAAAATAACTGCTGATGACCTAAAAACTGCTCTCATTTTCACTTTCTGCTCCAAAAGGGGCATGAGGTGGATGGTGGCCTGCCTTCTGCTCCAGAATTGCAGCATATTGCCCATACAGCCCAAGGCGTGGTCAGATCTTTCTTTTCCATTCCCTTTCCAAACTTTTATTATGACCCTCTTGCCAATCTGAAGTTCAAGCATTTCCTGTATATCAGGGTTGATGAAAGGGAAATCCCCAGTCTCTATCTGCCTGTATGTGGGGCCTGTCCAGAATAAAGCCTCCTGGGGGCTGAGAGAGAGAGAGAGAGAGAGAGAGAGAGAGAGAGAGAGAGAGAGAGAGAGAGAGAGAGAGAGAGAGAGAGAGAGATGCTCTTGCAAGGACTCACCATGTGTCAAGTTGGAGTGGTACTAGGTTTTGGCAGCTACCTGGTACCGGGAAGGGTCTGAGATAGGTCTGTTTGAGTGGTCAAGGCCTGAGGTGGTTGAGGTAGGTCTGTTTGAGTGGTTAAGGACTGGGGTAGTTAAGATGGGAGAAGGCAAACCTGGCAGAGGTGTGCTTTGTAAGGTCCTCATCCTGCTGGGATCTGGCATGGATGCAGGAAAAGCCACAGGATCAGGAGGATGAGATGGATGGGAAGGTGCTCATGGTGGTGGTGAATGGCATCTCCATCTGAATTGCCCTGTTGCTCTTAAGCAACTGAACACTGAGCGTTCTCTCTGGGAATTGGCAGCTGGGCCCAGGCCCGCATCACAGAGCACCTGTCTTCCTGTCACAAAGTGCTCCTGAGTGTGTGTGTGGGAGTAGTAAGAAGAGGTGACAAAACAATTATTCCCCATCTTCCAGCTTTCACAGGTTCTCCATCCTCCACAGCCTTTTGTGTCCCCATTTCCAATCTACCTGCACACTCTGTCAGAAATAGAGTCTTGTCCATTTTCTGCTTCTCTCCTATACCCACAGAGAGGCTTGAACATGTTCTGTGGGCTTTTGAAACCTCCAAGTCACACCTCCTAATCTATCCCAAACAGTTCTACCAACTGGCAATCAAATATCCAAGTATATGAGCCTTTGGGGGTTTATTCAAACCCACCACATTCCATTCTCTGGCTCTCCATTGGCTTGTAGTGATATCATAAAACAAAATTCATTTAGTGGAACTTCCAACGTCTCAACACTATTTCAAAGTCCAAGATTTCTTCTGAAACTCAAGGCAGGCTCTTAATTGTAACCTCCAATAAAAGCAAAACCCAAATTACATGTTTGAACATACAACGTCACAAAAATACATATTCCCATTCCAAAAGGGAGAAAAGAGGGTGTGGTGAGGAAATACTGAACCAAAACTCAAGACCAAAATCTAGCAGGGCAAACTCCAAACTCTGCAACTCCATGTCTGATATCAAAGAGCTCTTCAGATCTACATTCCTTTCAACTTTGTTGATTGCAACATACATCTTTCTCTTGGGTTGTTCCACTCTCTGTAAGCAGCTCTCCTTGTCAGGTATCCCATGGCTCTGGCATCTCCAACACCTTGGAGTCTCTAATGAAATCTAGGCTACCTCCACAGCTTCACTTAATGGCCTCTCTAGGCCTCCATGCAGGGACATCCTTGACATATGTCTGGCCTTAGCAGCTTTTTTAACCACAGAGAATGATTCCATAACCCCTTTCCTCATGTTTCCTTCATGAATCTAATGCCAGAACAACATGACCAAAGTTGCCAAGTTCTGCTGTCTGCTTAGGATGAAACCTGGAATGGGGACCCTTCTTGAAGAGTCTTCTCAGACAATTCTTACTTGTGTCAAGTTGACATAAAACTAGTTAAACAGTCTGATACCTACTACATTAGACAAGGATGTAACAAAATGACCTCTTTTGTTGCTGTTGTTTTTCTCTATAAACATAGTTAAAAACTCTCAATAAAACTTTGGCAAACCAAATGCAACAACCCAATAGGGATATCAGACAGCCCAACCAGGTTTGTTCTATTCTAGTTCAATATAGTCAAATCAATAAAGGTGATGTATACATATATAATAAATATATGTCATATAATATGCAAATATTACATATATGCTAAGTTCATTTGTTCTATGTGGAAGGTTGATTGTGAATGGCTCCCATAAGCTCATGTAACTTGAATACTTATTTCCCTGTTGGTGGAACTATATGGGAAGGACTAGGAGGTATGGCCTTGCTGGAGGGTGTGTATTTCTGGGGCTGGGCTTTGGGGTTTTAAAAGTCATGGCACTCCTAGTTAACTTCTATGCCTTGTGGTTGTGTTTCATCTTAAGATATAAGTTCTCAGCCATGGGATGTCAGCTGTCATGCTCTCCACCACAATGGTAATGCACTCACACTTTGAAACTGTAAATCCCCCCAAAACTAATTTTCCCTAAATTGCCTTGGTCATAATAGCTTAGTATAACAATAGAAAAGTAACTAAGACATTTTTGATACTGTTTAATTCTAAGATTTCTTTGTTGATTTTTACTTTGTATGACATATCAAGAGAGGACAGTGGGCATTAAAATCACCTACTCTCATTGTATTAGCGCCTGTTTGATCTTTCACATGCATTAGTGCTTGTTGTATGAAATTGGGAGCCCTACATTTGGTAATAATGTTTATAATTATTACATTTCCTTGGAGAATTATTCCCTTTATTAGTATGTAGTGGCTTGCTTTATCTCGTCTGACTAATTTAGGTTTGAAGTCTATGTTATCAAATATCAGAATAGCTGTACCAGCTCCAGTGCTGGCTAGTGTTTATGTAACTTGACACTAGCAAGTACTATCTGAGAAGAGGGAATATCACTTGAGAAAAGGCTCCCATGAGATCCAGCTATAGGTAAGCCTGTAGGACATTTTCTTATTAGGGATTGAGGCAGAACGGCACAGCCCATGGTGGCTGGGATCACCTCTGCTGTAAGAAAGCAGGCTGAGCAAATCATGAGGCTGAAGCCTGTAAGTAGCACCCCTCTTCTGCTTCTGTATCATCCCTTGGCTCCAGGTTCTTGCCTTTGACTTCCTTGGATGGCAAACAGTGATGTGAAATGTTAACAAAATAAGCCCTTTCCTCCCCAGGTTGCTTTTGGTCATGGTGTTTCATCACCATAATAGTAATCCCAACCAAGACAGCTTCCATTAACATGCTGGATTGTTTTTCATCCTTTGACTCTTTTTTTTCATCCTTTGACTCTTAGTTGTGGGTATTTTTACCCATGATGTGTGTTTCTCAGAGATAACAGATAGTTGGGTAGCGTTTTTAATTGAGTCAGCTAGTCTGGGTCTCTTCGTTGTTGAATTTAAGCCATTTATATGTGAAATTATTATTAAGAGACGTTTGCTTATTATTGTAAATTTTTGGTTGTTTTTGTGGTTAGTTGGATTATTGTTTGTTATTTACTCTCACCCCAGTTGGTATTAGAGGCTTGCTGGTTTACTGTTCTGGGTGTGATGGATTTCTCTCAGATATCCTTTGTTCATCTGCTTCTCTCATGCAAATTATTCCTTCTAGTATTCTCTTGTTTGAGACTGTCTTTACTTCACTGTTTATTTGTGCTGGCAGGTTGGTCATGAATTGCCTTAAGTTTGTGCTCATCTTGAAATATCATTATTTCTCTGCCAATTTTAAAAGGTATCTTTGCTTGTTATAGCAATCTTGGTTGGCAGTTATTTACTTTTAAGTCTTTTTTCATCCTTTCCTGGCTTTGAGGGTTGCTGATGTGAGATCTATATTATTTTGTTGTTTCTGCCTTTTTAGGTGAGTTGGCATTTTTCTAGGCAGATTTTAATAGTTTTTGTTTTCTATTTTTGACACGTTACTGTAATATGTCAATGGTTCTTAGGTCATGACTACTGGAGAGTTGTAAATACTTCTTGTGCCTAAATGTCTATTTCTTCCTCTAGATTTGGGAGATTTCCTACTATCATTTTTGTTGAATATACTTTCTATATTTTTAGTGTTTATCTCAGCTTCTTTGTCTGTACTCTGGGTTCTTAGGTTTGGTTTCTCAATCATAATCCCAGAGTCCCTGTGTGTTCTGTGGCAAAGCTCATTTTCTTTGTTTCCCTTACTGATGCTTGAATGCAGTGTTTTGTCAGCCCTGCCCTTCACACTCTTTTTTCCTGAATAATGGAATCCATTGGCCATGCTTTCCATTGTGCTTTTAAATTTGATTCATTGCATTTTCATTTCCAAAAATTTAAAAGCTTACTTTACTGCTTGAGAATTTCATATAAGTATACAATGTGTATGGTCCAGTTCAACCCTAAACACTCCCCTCCACCTCCTGCCAAACCCTCCCGCAACTTCTTCCAAACTGCATGCACTGGATTTTTGACCCACTATGTCCAATTAGTGATGCCAGTGTGTGCTTTTGTGTGGGGCCATCACTGCAACATGGGCAGGTTACCAGGTGCCACATGCCCAAAATCTCTCTCTCTCTCTCTCTCTCTCTCTCTCTCTCTCTCTCTCTCTCTCTCTCTCTCTCTCTCTCTCTCTCTCTCTCTCTCTCTCCTTTCCCTTTTTCTAAAGCCCTAAATTTCCTGTTGGATTTATCTTTTTGTCCTACTTGTCATCAATATTGCTGATTTTACCCATATGTTTCATTGATGTTTTCTTCCATGTTGCTAGCTTTCTTGTCAGTTCTTGCTTGAGTTCCCTACTTGTTTGTGTCCTCTTTCATGTTGTTGCATGGCTGTTTCCCTTGTGAATGTGCTGTGATTTGTGCATCTGTTGTTTGGAGAGAGACCTTCTCATTGAACATCCTGCTTTTGAAGCCTCAACCCCCAGTTCCATTTTGTGAGGATCAAAAAAAAAGCCACTGTATTAACAATTGCGTCAAACCATACAATGAATAGAAATACAATTAAAATCATCTTCAGTCCACATATGTATTGGCAATGATCATAATACCAAAAATGACAAAACTACTGTAGAATGTACCAAAACTTAAATATTATCTAGGCTGAGTGTGGAAATAGAAAGCAAATGTGATGAAGGATGGAATAGGTAGGACATATGAGAAGTGGAGAAGGAAGGTTAAATAAGAGAAAGGAGATGAAGAATAGAAGGATGTTACAAAGGGGAAGGGACTATAGTGAGAGATTAGAAAACAAAATCCCAAGCTCCAAAAGATATCTTAATAATGAAAACGTTAAAAATTTTAGATAGATGTAAGAAGGGAAGGAAAAATATTGTCTAATAAGGAAAAAAAGTGTAAATAATAGGAATGCATGAAGGGGAACAAAAGTAAAAACACAAAAATTAAACTAATGTAATAAAAGCAAACATTGCTTTAAAGTGTAGTTAAAGGCAATAAAGAATCAGCAATGGGAAAAGGTCAAAGTGTTGATGTGGCTGCTTTCTGAGTCCTTGGAGCTGGAAACTGACCTAACACGAAGGGAAAGCCTGTTGGTCATGTGGACTCTTGTCATTCCTGTTGTTTGTGCTGTCACTGAGGCTGTATTGGACCCTTACAGATAAAAGGGTTTTTGTTTGTTTGTTTTGTTTTTCTATGTCTAATTTTCTAATCTATTTTTTAAGGTAAAAACATGCTACCAAATTTTGTCTTGTGAGGTTTCTCTTTTAATGGGCTTTATTTTCTCCACAGCTCAGTGAGGTAGATACTTCACACCGCTTTGCAGAGCAGCAAACTGCAAGTTGTTCAAGGTTAAACAG